GTACATCGATATAGCAACAATTAACTTAATCTATATTAATAAAAATGTTGTGTTCGTATGTCACGGTCGTCAAAACTCGAGAAGTGGTCCAGGGACCGATCTATTCGAAAAAATAGAATTTACGGTCCGATTTGCTTAAAATTCGGTGCGCAGATAGCTTTTTAGCATGTATTAGCATATGTGATCAATTTTTTCCGAGAAGTGGACCAGGGACCGATCTATTCCAAAAAATCGCATTTATGGTCCGATTTGCTTAAAATGCGGTACGTAAGTAGTTTTTTAGCATATATTAGGATATATGGTCCATTTTTTCCGAGAAGTGGACCAGGGACTGATCTATTCGAAGAAATCGTATTTATGGTCCGATTTGCTTAAAATTCGGTATGTAGCTTTTTGCCTGGATAAGCTTATAGATTCCTGTTTTCCAATTTTCATGCAATTTCGAATATACACCCTCATTGCGAGAGTGGTGTCGTATGCAAGTCGTTTTTCGAGAGTCGAATCGTATCGAAAATTTCACGTCATTGCCTAAAATTTCCACTCGACTAGTGTATTAAAACGGAAAAACTTGGCAGCACTGTATAGTTTTCGACAAATTTCGTCGTTTACTTTTTTCAGCACGACAGTAAACAATGCCAATGTTGTCGAGTCGTACAATTTAGCCTAATTTACGACTTACGCAATGAGGCTGATAAATAGCTTTAAGTAACGACCATATCAAGGGGCGAATTCGTCACTAGGCAAGATTTTTTTGCTCCAATCAGAAACAACGGATACTGTCAAAATATAATTATAATATATAATATATCTCAACTAATTTATATTTAGAAAGGCGTTTGTTAGTTTTCGCAAGGCTCGAGAGCGGCTGAACCGATTTTTTTGAAACTGCCACCTGCCGCACGTGTCCCAAGGATGGTTTTAGGCTGAAAAAATCTATATGTAAAGGGGGCGTGGCACTTCCCATACAAACCGAATTTCTCATGCTACATATCTCTGAAAGTGAGCATGGTAGAGTTTTGGAAATTGGTATGGAGATATACGAAATCAATCGCATACCCTTGGAGAAAAATTTTAGCTATAGTAAAAAGGGGTGTGACATCTCCCATACAAACCGAATTTTTCATACTGCTTATCTCTGGAAATTTTTTGGTAGAGTTCTAGAGTTTTGTATGGAGATGTAGAAATAAATCGCATACTCTTGGAGAACAATTAGAACTATTGGAAAAGGGGGCGTGGCATCTTCCATACAAACCGAATTTTTCATACTGCCTATCTTTGGAAGTGTTCATGGTAGAGTTCTGGAGCTTGGTATGGAGATATACGAAATCAATCGCATACTCATGAAGAAAGAGGGCAGCTGTTGGAAAGGGGGGCGTGGCTCCTTCCATATAAATCTAATTTTTATACTGCATATCTCTGAAAGTATTCATGGTACAGTACTGGAACTTCGTATGGAGATATGTATATAGTTGAAATCAAGCCTATACTCATGGAGAAAATTTGGGCTATTTGAAAAGGGGTGTGAGGCCTACAAACCTACCGACCTTTAGCTATCTTTGAATGAATTTTTTTATTCTTCTGTAGGTGTGTTTGTGAGTGAAATCCTCCTAAATGGTTGTACGGATTTTAACGAAACTTTTTGTGTATTTGAGTTGGTCTCTGGATGGTTTAGTTTCACAATTTAATCCGACAGTTGGCGCTGTAGTTGAGCTATTACTAAAAATCTTATTTATGATCCGATTTGGCTAATGTTTTAAATATGTATGCAATACTATTGCAAAAACGTGCTGCCAAGTGGTGCTGAAGTCGAGCTATTACTAAAAATAGCCAAGTGAGAAAGGGGCCGTGAAGGTCAGATTAAATCGACCTGTTGCACCATTGAGTATATCGAACGCTCCTGCGTTGCAATTGGCCCAATGGATGTGATTTTCCAAAATTATTGTGCGTTCAAACTTTTAAGGTATTTCGTCTGAAATAAGTATATGTATATTGCATTTCTGTAGAACAATGATTCGCACCCATTTTGAAATTGCCACCTACTATACTGTATAGCTTCTAGGACATTCACTATAGAACCGGGTCATTGTTGCCGCCAGGGAGTGAAGAGGAAAAAATTTATTTCGCTTTGCGAATAACCGTGCTATGAAATACCGCACAACTGGAGAATTTCAAGAACGGATATAAAACTATGTTCCCATTGTTAAAAATAAATTAATTACAAACTAAGTAATTTCGCCTTGTAAAGTCTCTCAGTAAATTAAGATGAAAGTACGTAGTTTATCTTAAACCAAGAACCAAATAACGAACAAATCAGTGTCGGCTCTAATTTTATCGATAATAATCGAAAAAAGTATTGTGCCACAACTGATATGTCATTGTGTTTGGACGTTTTTGTTTTTAATAATCGCGCGTGGTAGTTTGTAAAATATTTCCAGAAGCTTTCTCTTTTGATCACTCATCTAAAATCTAAAAAATTACCACGAACAACTCAGAATATAAAAATATACGCATATACTCACATTCGCGATCTCTTTTCGTTAAATAAACAATAACACAGGGTTGCTACAAAGCTGTCAAGACAAATAAAGAAACGCGTGTATGAACGCACTTAATTTAGTGAGGTATTTTAAACGAAACTAAGTATTTTATGTTGGTAATGTGAACATAGTTTAACACTTTCCTTAGGTTATTTAAAGCGGCAAATAACCATCAAACCTTAATCTTAGCAGACAAATGTGCCAATGGAAATCGTAAACGTGAATTGTTGGTAAAAATGTTGGACCAAAAAGTTTCAATTAAATATATAAAAATTTTGGGCGGGACGAAGTTCGCCGGGTCTGCTAGTGTAATAATAAAGTGAGGAAAAAAGAAAGGAAATGGTTTGAGGTTGATTTATTTTTGTATAGTTGTTGGATTCTAGCGATGGAGTGCTAAGCACGAAATTTTTGGTGTGGGTGTTGCGCTTGTGCAACTGAGTGGAAGTGGGAGTGCACTAACGTTGACAATGACTGTATAATGACGGAATTATAGATAGACGGACTGATGTCAGGTTAGGGGAGTTGTAAAGTAGGTGAAGAGTCACGACTACGCCCAAGGCTCCGCGTGAAGTTCACGAAGGAGAAGGGTGGGATGACTCCACCTGACTGGACAAGACAGGACCATCTCTTCATTTGTTGCTATCCCTTTGTTCTCTGCTTTCTTCGCATTTTCTTAAGTCATCTCCACTAGTACACTAGGTATCAGGTATGAATAACTTTTTGTTAATGTAGTTGACAGCAAGGCAGGTGGAAATGACCCATCCCGACGACGAGCTAGCTTGGGATGCTTCGCCTGGCTCGACCATGTTGCTAAATTACATGCTCTTTGACGTTTCGGCGTGAATGCTGAATTTTCCGAAGGTGTTCCAATGATCATTCTGTGCGCACCCCGAGATTGAAATCGACATGAACAATTTTGATATCATGACGGGAGCTGCGCTCGTATGTGCGCTCCAAGCGCTCATAGAATCTATCCGTGGACACTTCCCTCTCTTCCATCGGGGCGCGGGCGCAAATCAGCGAGATGTTGAAGAAGTTTGCTTTGATGCGGATCGTGGCGATACGTTCGTCTACCGGGGTGAATGACAGTACTCGGCGACAGAGTCTCTCCTCCACTACGAATCCAGCACCGGGTTCGCGCTCCTCTACATGACAACTGTAGTAGACGTCGTAAGGCCCCAGGCATTTCTTGCCTTGCCCCGTAGAACGCATTTCTTGGATGGAGGTGATGTCAGACTTTGTCCTTACGAGGATATCAACCAGCCGGGCAGAGGCGCCTCCCCATTAAGGGTCCGGACATTCTATACTGAGGGAAATAATGCATAGTAAAAATGAATACTTTATATTTGATTATCGTTTAAAAATATTCGAACTTAAAAATAATATTTTCATACAAAATTTATTACGCACGTATTTGACTGTTCACATCTGAGTATATATATGAGTGTACATACGCGACCCAAGCATGCAGAGCGCCGCTCTGAGAGCAGTGACAACATACACATTCATACATAGTACATACATGTTTATCCGAACAAATCGCGTGCTGTTGATGGATATTCAACATTTGAAAGCAAATTTATATGCCTGGGTGTAGCTGAGTGCGCAAAGATGCATGCCACAATTTGTTCATATCCAGAGATAGTCAGGGTTCGAATTCCACTGCAGGCAACATGCAAGTTAAATATTTTTTTTTTATTTTTGTCTTGATTATTCACTTCACGGATGCTTTTTCAGAACGAACGCGGCCATTTTAATATGCTATGCGCATATTGAATTGAATATTTACCAATATACAGTACTTTCGTTGACGCTTATAGAAAGATCAATTACGTTTCTATTTGATTTCAATATTTTTTCCCCCTCAGTGTAGGTGCATGCCCGCAAATCGTAGTCATTTAAACATTTGCCGTGGTCGTCATCAAAATGGGGGTCTCATCCGAGGCCTTGTGTATTCACTGGAAGTGGTTTTTACTTGGCGGGTCCCAAACCCAGCGCACGACCCATTGTTGGGAGGGGGGTGGTTTCCTATCGGAATACATGATATATAGCGAGTCGATTGCTACAAGACAGACAACCTACTGGTGAACAGACGCTGCAGACTTCAAAGAGCCCGTAAGCCGAATAAGTCGGGTGGCCCCGCAGAAACTTCCTCTCTTTCTGTTGTGGCCCAAGGCTCCACTCGGACTGCTTACCGGGTCTCGCACATGGGTTGTTCACGTTGCCCAGAGTGCGCGAACGAGGACGCAAGAGGCGGGATTGAGTAAAGCCGTGCAACTGTAACTGCATACCCCACGACGACTATGCCCCATTGCACTGAAGCGTATGCATAACTATAAAGCCAGACTTCCATAAATCTTGAAGTATTGCGGGAAAATTTATCTTTATTATGTTAAATGTTCTAATTAAATTAATGAAATGGTATACTTGCGCTTCTAACATTTTATAAATAATACAATATAGTTTTCGTTTTACTATTATCATTATTAAATAAATACATATATTATGTTGTAACGAATTACGTAAGCATACTCTAGTTAATATATATTTTTACTTTGAAAATTGTTGACGGTTTGATGAAAAGTGGCATATTCTGAATAAAATTAGCGGCACTCCCAGACTTTTACGGTTTGATCCACGCTACCCGAAATAACAAATGGGTGGATCTTGTGAAAATCTGTAAAAAAAGAAAACTTTGCGATAAGTAGTCGTTGTGGTATGATTAGATGTGTAAAAATATAGTTTGTTTAAAATTTTAGCTTGATTGGCCCATAGTAATTGTCAAGATTAAGTGAAATCTAAAGTTGATTGCAGCTTTTTGAAATAACACTGTGCTACACAAAAAATATGCAGGGGTTCTCATGTAGAAATTATATAGCCCATATGACACGACTATACCTATAGTTTTTCTCCATCACCTCGTTTATTAGTTTTTTGCTATCAAATATAATAAAACTTTGTTATTCTTCAAGTTACACCTTCAAGGAGCTATAACTTTGCTGTTTTTTGGTCCAATTGAAAAGACATGGGTTTAACCTTTCTAACAAAGAAAAAAGTTTGAAAATCGGCTGAAGAAGGGCTTAGTATTGGTCTTTTAATTAAAAAAAAAAAATAATAATAATTTTCTTCACGCTTTTATTTGACCGTGAAGCAATAAAAAATTATTTGATCTTTATAAAAAAGTACATAAAATCAGTTTTCCAATAGTCATAAGTAAATTAAAATCGAGTAAAAATGGCCTAGTAATGCTTTATTTAGTGATGATAAGTATATCTCTGTTTTCCTTTTTTCCTAGAAATGATTTCGTTTCGTTTGTTATTTATTCATTTTAGTACTGTTTTCGATCATGTACGTATAAACTAACTATAGTTTTTTGATAGCATATGGTTCCACTTCTATATTTGCTTTTTTTTACTTGATCTTACAAAACTCTTCCTAGGGCCATTTGAGTGCTCTCTGTGTACTATAAAAATTTTGAATTAATAGACATGAAGCTAATTTTTTCATATTGTTTTACTGAAGAAAGAATTTTGAAATAATTAAAAAGACAAAAGAAAATAATTCATATTAAGATACATCCGAAAAGTAAAATGTGTGATAACAGTGGACATTTTTGTTTTATTTGCGGATTACTTGTGGATTCACGACACAAAATTATTAAACAAACAAGTTATTCCGATTTATGAAGAATATTTCGGTCATTCCTATATACATGGTATGTGTTATATAGCACACTTTGTTGTTCATCGTGTTATTCATAATTAAGGTCATGGAAAACAAATCGTCCGGGATCATTTACATTGCCTTTCGATGAGCCGGTTGGTTGGCTTCCACAACGTATACATAGAAAACATAATTGTTATTTCTGTTTGACGAATATAAAAGGATAGCACTTCAAAATAAGACGACTATAAAATATGCTGATGTTGATAATGTTATTAAGACAGTAAGCGTCAGAAAGACGCTGTAAATCCAAAAACGATAGGAGGAATATCACCGTGTTTAAGTTACCTTGAGTTATTTATATCCCCTCCTCAACCTCCAGCATCAGAATATATTCCACCTTTAGGTAAAATAAATGACTAAAATTTACTTTCACAAGCAGAATTTAAAGATCTTATACGTGATTTAGAATTGTCCAAAAGACAAACAGAACTTTTAGGTTCAAGAATGAAACAATGGAAATTTTTGCACGAAAATATCAATATTACATTTCGTAGAACTGAGGAAACTGATGCTTTTGGATCACTATTCAGTGAAAGCACTAAAAATAGTAATTTGGTTTATCGCAATGATGTCAATGCATTGTTTGACATAACCATACCCCATATGATTGGCATCTATTCACGATGGTTCAACAAAAAGTAAAATTAAAACGTTTATTACATATTCTAATTTTCTTTATTTTTAAGGTTTGAAGGCGGTGCTTTTACCCAACAGTGGCTTGTTTCCATCAGTCCTATTGGCTTACGCTACTGATGTCAAAGAATCTTATGACAATATGGCTGAAATATTAAATGTCATTGAATAAAAAATTCACAACTGGCTAATTGTAGCATATTTTAAAGTACTAACAATTTTGAATGGCATGACACTAAATATCCATGCTATTTTTGTAAATATGCAGTCTAGCAACAGCCTGCACTACGTTTAAAAAGATTGGGATCCACGTACGTCATTTGTAGTTGGTGAAAATAATATGTATTTAGTATAAATATTCCTCTAGTTAGTCCAGCGGACATTTTTTTACCACCGCTGCATATTAAACTGGGTTTAATAAAGCAATTTGTGAAAGCACTTGACAAAAATGGACCAACATTCAAATATATTGACAAATTTTTTCCACGAATAACTTACGCGAAATTGAAAGAACGTAAAAGGGTATTTTTACATAATTTAAAACCAAATTAAATTATATTTTTAACAGGTATTTTTGTCGGTTCCCAAATACGGGAACTGATTAGGGACGGCCATTTTTTACAACAAATGACGTCTTTAAAAAAAATGCAAGGGAATGTTTTTCTTCTGTGTGTGAAAATTTTCTTGAAAACAAGAATAATAACATTATGAAGATATAGTAAGTGACATGCTGTCTGCCTACCATGTTATGGGTTGTAATATGTCCATTAAATTGCACCATTTGCATGCTCATTTTAATATGTTTCCATCAAATTTAGGCCAGATGAGCGAGGTGACCGGATTTTACCAGGAAATTCTAAAGATGGAACGGCGTTATGTTGAAAAAAGCAAAACTACTGTTGGTTTCTTAAATGAGATACTAGCAACGACGTGTATATAAAAAAAAAACCAAAACATTTCTGGAAAAAAAGGAGAACACATATATATTTATTATCACGAAATAAAGCATTACTAAGCAATTTTTTATTCGATTCTAATTTACTTATGACATTTGAAAACATAAAATCATGTACTTTTTTTATAAAGATACAATTTTTTTTTGTCTCACGATCAAATAAGAGCGTGAAGAAAATTAAAGATTTTTGAAAAATTTACGTTCGTTTTCAATTAAAAGACTTGCTTATTTGTTAGGAAGGTAAAACCCATGTCTTTCAAACAGAGAAAAAACATTTTAAATTCGACAAAAAAACAACAAAGTTATAACGTCCTGAAGTTGTAACTTGAAGAATACTAAAGTTTTATTATATTTGTTAGTAAGTATAGCCGTGTCCTATAGGCTATAACAAAACATTATTTCTTTTTTGTTTACTTTTGTATCACTGTGTAATTTTCAACGGGATATCTGTCAAAAAATGAGAAAATAACTTTATTTTGTCTATAACTAGAGTCATCGAGTTTAATAGAATAATTTATAAACATGTTTTTGCTAATTACACAATCAACCAAATTTAAACTTAATAACCATTGCAAATTTTGAAAGACGTTATTATATTGACTATTTACGTTGCACAAATTCATAGTCCAGCACGTCTTTTTTTTTATTTGAACTCAAAGGTAAAGGAGTTATACGAGTCTTGGACGTCTTTGAAAAAAATAGTGCTTCATCTCACGTTTAAGCAAAAAAAAAAATTAAAAAGGGATAAAACCTTTAGGCGAATCGGACATGTAATATGTGAATTGAAATAAATAGCATAATATGTATACATTTTTTAAGGATTTTTGTTTATCTTAATTTTTTGTGTAAAGTGAAGGAAACAACCCTACTTTTTTATGGATTATTTTGCCGAAGGTGCCATACAGTCATTATAAATATTTTACAAGTAAAAAGTTAAAAGTCTACCGTAAGACAAATGCAAAACTGATGGCAAGACTTACAAAAAGGCTCTCTCATTCACCACTCGTGGTGAAAAGCTATATTGAGAAAAAGCATTGTTCAATATGGTTAAGCCACTTCAATACTTTAGAATTAATGCATCCTTTATATTCATTTGTTTCGATCCTCGACTTTCGAGTAGTGATTATTTGACATTTCCTTTCATAGTACTTCACTTGTTTTTCCCAAGGTGTAAAACGCGAAATTCAACTGTAAAAGTTCTGCTTTTTCAATAAAGGATTATCTTGGTAAGAACATTTGCCTCTTATGAGTAAAACATATGTTCGTATGGTTTTTGTTTCATTTTGGTTAACATGGCAGAATTAAACTGGCGTTCAGCGGCCGTCAAGGCAATAAAGCGCATAAACGCGCGGGTATATAAGGCCAGTAGCGAAACCCACGACGTATTTCAACTGGAACCGCACTTCCAGCGATTCTCTCTTAATCACGATCAGAAAGAATTGAGACGTTATATGACGAAGTTTGCTGTCGCCTCAATCGTCTGATAGCGAATTCAAAATCGGTTGTCACTGCGGCCTCAAGCTAGCACGGACCCTACACTCGTAGCGCTCTGTTGGATGGGCGTTCGGTTGACCTGAAAATTTAACCGCTCGTTATTCCAGTGTTAGATGGGGGGATGTGTAATTGGCTTGCGTTTAAGGACACATTTGAGACTCTCGTACAAGTCTCGTATCCAAAAGCGTTCAAACCAGGGAAGCTCCGGCAATCCGTCAATGCAAAGGAGGTCCTGCTAATACGTGGCGTACGTTAAGGACCGTTATGATAACAAAAAGCAATTCGCAGAAATCCATGTGACGCGGTTCCTTACTTTAAAATTGAGGACAGAAGAATCGGCAAAGCCCTTGCTTGCCATTGTGGACACTGTTCATGAGTCGCTGTGCGCGTTGCTGGCTATGGAGGTATCTATAGATAAATAAAAAAAAAGATGCTTTTGGGCAAAGATATTATTTTTTATTTACGAGTATGGACGCTCATCCTGTGTGATTTGTCATAGCCGAACTACGCCGAACTTGTTTGTATTATCTTTCAACTGATTATAAAATAATTTGATTAAAGACTGCAAATATAAAGGTCGTGTGTACCAAACATTTTGAGTGAAAATATTGACCTTTAATACAAACAACATTTTGGCAAAAAAAAAACGCGCACAACTTCAATTTGATTACTCAAAGCTTTGTTAATGCAGGCTTGCAAATTTGTTTTTGCATGCTGTTCAATAGCACGCATTTGATAGCTGTTATCATGATAGAAACATAGTAAGGTAAAACCGTTCTCTCAATTCGTCGGCCATGATTTTTTTTTTGAAGTTTGCCAACATTTTAAAATCATATAAAAATGAGAGTAAAAAAAAGGAATTGTTCAAA